CGAACAACAATCGTTTTCAAAATATTTCGTGTACCGCACGCGTGTACGACGTGTGTGCGTGTAACGCTATTGTTTCTTTTACCGCTCGACCGACTCGTTTTAGACAATGATGATCAGCTGTTGTAGAGATTTTCTTTTCGACCGGCCGCGTGATCGGGGCCTGCAACGGGCTCCCGACCGCCGGGTCAGAGGAGGGTGACTGTTTTGACGCGTGACCGAGTGCGTAGGTCAGTCTCCCGAGAGCGTATAGGATTACAGTGGTGTTACGTAAATATTAACACTTGGTACGGCCTTGCGCTGTTGATCGTTCGTTATAGTGTCTAACACGGCTTTGACGAAAATACGTAAATTTAATTTTCGTATTCCCAACGTTGTTGTCGAGACGAACAGTTTCTAAAAAACGTCGAAAATGCAAACAATACTGTTCCGACGTCGCATCGCAACGAAAAAGTTTATAGTGATGAAAAAAAAAAAAAAAACGGGAATGGAATACATTAAAGAAATTGTAACAATTGATAACCGAATCGCAAGGGTATGTGAGATTCCGTCGAGAAAACGGATTTGGTCATCGGACCCTAATGAGCAAAACATTTTGCCGTTACCCTTCAGTGTCGCGTGTAGTGACAAAAGGACCACTACAGTGATCCGCGAGAACGAAATCGCTTTCGGAAAATGAAATAATATATAGACAGCTAGTTATAATAAGTCGTAGGAATATATTATTTTATTATTATCGGCGGGCAAAAACGCGAGATGACGGAACGTGTGGTTAACAAGGTGAAAATATGCTGTAACGTTATAATATGATGCGTGCGAAATGATATTTAAACGCAAAACGTTTCCAGACGTTCGTTTTTCTCCTCAGACACCCCTATACTATATCAATACATTGCGATGTCCAGTATACTTTGTCATTAGAACAGTAGTATATTATGAATTTTTTCCAAACGAAGTTGTCTTGTTAGTGATCGATAGTACTCTAGTTACTTTCGTCATACTTTTAAAATTTCTAAACGTCCATAAAATACGAGTAATAAATAATGAAAAAAAACAAACTCGAGACGGATCAACCCCCTCTCCAGTTCTGCCAACCGAAAACATGCAACTGCATCGCAACGCAGTTTTCCGACAACTCGCATGACGTGTACAGAGTAAAACCAACGTTAACGTTGTAAAAGTATTGTTCAGGCGAATGCGCTGTCGCTTTTTTATTTGTTTTCGGGTCGGGGTGAAGAACAAAAGTGAAATAACGCGCGACGATTATCTAACGACCCAATCGATTCCGGCGGCACGTGATCGCAATACAATCCTTAGACCGTTGAACGGCCGTTCGCAAATCCGTTTATGATATGTGACGTTACAGTACACAGTTATCACACCGTAATCGAGAGGTGCATGTGCTGCATTATAATATATCGTTATAGAAAGCCGTCGACGAAACGCTATCGCCGTGATCGGCGTTTCCGCCGCGGAGAAAGAACGCGAGCGCAACGTACGTCGGGAAGAAGAAAATGATAATAATAACAATAATAGTCATAACGGGGGAGAGAAAAAAAAACGAATAATGTCACCGGACCACGTGTTTGACGACGCGGAGGAGGAAGATGACGGCCCGTAAAATGGTCGCACTTAACGCGGTAGCATAAATTATCCATTATATTGTATTACCGTTGTCGTAACGTGCGAACGATACCGTGTTAAGGAACCGTAGTCATGCGGTTTTTATTAATATTTTATTATACGTCCGATGAAATCGTTTCGACTTGCCTGTCGCGTCCGCCGTAACAGTATTATAAAATAATACGTGTGGAGCGAGCGCACGCACTGCGTTCAATTCCGGAAATTAACCGCTGTGAACTGTACGATACGTCATAACACGAATATTATACCACGGTATAACACACGTGATAAGAGATACGTGCGGTGACGGGTTTCCTCGGAAATGTTCATGCGCGTCTGGAGAAACACAGAGAAAGAGTGACAGAGAGAAAAAGAAAATTTATAAAAATCGTTTGGTTTCACCGCGCACGGTCTAGTAACGCGTCAATGAAATATTACGATAATAATACGACCGTTGCACCGGTTGCAGCGAACCGTTGGTTTGTTTATTATTTTTTTTATTTTCGCGAGACTACGTGTAAAATCTTGGTAGAAGCAGTACCGACTGTCGAATCGTTAACGAAAACATTATATCCGATACGCGAAGTCCGAATCTTTGTCACTGCTAGAGAATCAACGTCTAGAATCAATTTTTATTCAAATAGACATTGGACTGAAAGTCATACCTATAAACGAACAGTCGGTGGGCGCGAATAAAACGTAAGATGGTTTCGTAGAACACATAGTACATTATTACATGTACATGCCGTTTGCAAAGCGCCCTGAAAATAAAATTTACACCCGGAAATGACAGGAAAAAGTTGTTCTGTCCCGAGTTTAGGTTTGAAATTGTATTCAGAACCGTCAAACGGTAAGGAATAAATCTCATGTGCTGCTCTGCTTTTGAATATTGTTTTAATTTAGGTAACTATTGAATTTCTAACTTTTAAACAAAATAATATAATTAATGATGTAATAAAGATTCAGTTCAAGTATAACGTTTCAATGAAAACGGTCCAACATCAAACCGTGGGGAACCCAAGTAGTTACGTTGCACTTCGGACAAGTTTTCAGCTTGCGGCTCAAGTCTACAACGGTATTGAACCGCGGTATCGTAATCCGACGAACGGACCACGAGCGTGGGTATAATATCACGATATTATCTAAAATTGGTATTGTGCAATTCTGTAGGTCGAACCGCGCGAACTTCCGGGGACAAGAGGAAAGTAACCGCGTGCGTACCGGGTGGGCCTCACTACAGCGCGGGGAAAGTGTGTACGTTGCGCAACGTACGTGTTTTAATATAATTCCCCCCCCCGCGCCAACGTACGATCTCGCCACTCGTGGTGAAGCCATCGACGAAAGGTCGTCCGCGTGAACGCAGTCACTTCCGATGGGGAAAGCGTCTGTGATTTACACGTCCTACCGCGTTCCGCAGAACGTGTGTAACACGTCGCACCCCCGCTTAAAAAGTGACACAACTGAAAAAATATTTTTTCATTTTTTCGATAATATTGTTTCAGTTAAATCATCATATTATTAAAAGTGATATTTGTGCCGTCTGTTGGTGAAAAACAGGAATAAAATTATGACTTTTTGTGTACAATACAAGTATATCAAATACGATATTTATACAGCATCAACCACAAGTTAGAAAATCGCGATTTTTCAGTTGTATCAATTTTTAAGCGAGGGTGCGACATGTGTATTTTACGTGCGATCATCTCGAATTTTTTCGGAATCGGAACCACTATTTGGGCTTCTACCTTCTATTGTTCTCGTACATCAAAGTGCGAACGTACAACCACTATAACCATGTAAAACAATGCAAAAACGTAAATATTCAACAAATCTGTGTACTTGATACCTCGTATCTAGATACTTGTTTCCATGTGTTTTGCCCAACCCTATACGTACGTGTTAATTTTTGAATATTTTTAAACTTATAAAAACAAAATATTTTAGCGTACCTTCTTGGAAATACTAAGTACTCAGCGAAGAAGCGACAATTGAGAAAATAAAAAAAGGAATTAAAAACGCTCACCAAATTCCGAAGGAAACAACTCTTTTATTAGATCGAACAATAATTCGAACTACGGCGCATTCGTCTGGGCCAATGATACATACGACCATTTGCTTTGTCCGTAGTAGATCTTTAGCGTAATCGTCGCGTTTTCAAACGGGTGAAATTGAACGCGTAGGAATTCGTGATCTCCCGTGAAGAGTGAATGTAAAAAAAATGTAAATAAATACGTTTTTATGAATAAACGCGTGCAGTGCACAGAACACGAGAAAACAAGAATTACGGATAATAATAATAATAAAAAAAAAAGATCAAAATAAATATTTATATACAGCCAACTGTAAATTACGATTTCGCGTATAACGGGAGCAAGCGATCGGATTAGAAAAAAATCCGTTCGGCTCAGTGAAGCGATCATAAGCAAATCTCCAAGTTTGTTTTTGAAAGACTATGTAATATAAGAGCCGTTATTGGTTACAAATTTTTTTTCTCGTACGAAAAGCCATTCATTCAAATTTCATTTCCTATCAAATCAGATTCGCATAAAAAATGGTTGGATGTAGGTATATAATATTTTATTGTTGAATTGCACTGAATTCGGATAACATGACGGAAAAACGATGCGAATTCACTACGTACTACTTAGACGTATAAAATAACACTAAACCATGTGTTTTTCATGATGATATGTAATAATTATAATGGAGAGTGAATAATTATCGATATCAGCCAGACCGCCAAACCATGTGACCTATACACGCATCAAAATAATTTTGATTTTAATTATTTAAGTGCACGATCTATTATTGCGTTTTATATGATTTAAATGATTTATAATGATTTTATACACCATTGCGTATCTTCGACTAGAGTATTTAATATCAACACGTGGTTTAGAGTGAATACTGTGACACCATGTTAAGGCAACCGTCATAATAATAATAATAATAATAATAATAATAATAATAATAATAATAAT